CCCCAAACCCTAAACCCTATAAGCCCTAACCCTAAACCCTAAACCCTATAAACCCTATACCCCAAACCCCAAACCCTAAACCCTATAAGCCCTAACCCTAAACCCTAAACCCTATAAACCCTATACCCCAAACCCCAAACCCTAAACCCTATAAGCCCTAACCCTAAACCCTAAACCCTATAAACCCTATACCGCTTCAAACCCAGGCTCTACGAAGGCGCCTCACAGAAGTCCTTTGGCTTGGCCTCAACGACCTGGTGATCACGGGAGGGCTCCGCGTGTTGGCCGAGGGCTTCTCAGATTTGTTTGGGGGTTTGGGGGGTTTAGGGTTTGGGGGTTTAGGGTTTGCATGCGGGTTTTGTGAAGAGGCGGTTTGGAATTTGGAGTTTTGGATCTTGGGATGTTGGGTTCGGGGGTTTGGAATTCTGGATATCGGGGTTTAGGGATTAGGGGTTTGCCTGCTGGGGTTTATCAGGCTCGGGGGGCGGGTAAACGCGCATATCATAATACTATGCACCAAGGCGTCCAGATGAACATCGTAGCCTTTCATCCAAAAGCCCGGAAAATACGAAGCCAACGCCCGCAACTCCAAGCCGTCAAAGCTCGGAAGCACGCCTTCCTGATTAATGAAAACTCTGCATTCCTATCCCCACAGCACCCTCACCCCACGAAACAAAAGAGCAAATCCAACGATACCCGCCACAGTGCTGAACACCAACCTTTTCTGCAGAGCCCAGGATCAGAAACGAAAACTTTTTGGAAAGGCCTGAAACCCTAAACCCTAAACCCTTGAAAGTCTTCAGCCCCAAACCCCGAAAGCCCGAAGCAAGCCTTGCCAGGATTGTCTGCTGCTGCCTTCGCATCCTTCAATCCAAGGCCTCTTTGTGGCGCTTATGGTAATTATTAAAAAGGCTCCTGGGCTTAGTACGATTCAGGTTTAGGACTTACGGATCGTAGGTTGTAGGGCTTTAGTGTTTGCTGACAGTTCTGCTTGGGATCAGGTTTGCAGGTTCGTATTATAAAGCCTACACCCTATGTCATTTGTCTACAACTGCGCAGTTACTCGTCTAAGGCCCACTTCTCCACCAGCCTGCGGGCACAGCGCATTGGGCGTAGTAAAGGGTCGGAATCACTGGGAATAGTATTCCCTTATGCCAAGCCCTTATATCGGTTAATATGACTGCACCATAATATACCCCCGAAGTCCTGTTCTAAGAACCCTCAACCCTAAAACCTAAAAACCCAAACCCTAAACCCTGAAACCTAAACACGAAACCCTAAACCCTAAACCCGAAAACCTAAACCCTAGACCCCAAGCCCTAAACCCTAAACCCTAAAACCTAAACCCGAAATCCTAAACCCTAAACCCTTAAAGCCTAAAGCCTAAAACCCGACACCCTGACAACCCAGGCCCCCTGTTTCAGGGTCGTAGGGGGGGGTAAAGGGCGCCTCTCAGAGCTGGTAGTAGGGTTTCGGGGTTTACAAGGTTTGGTTTTTTTTGGGTTTAGGGCATTCTTGTTGGGTTTAGGGCTTTCTTTTTGGTTTAGGGCTTGTTTTGGGGGGTTTTGGGTTTAGGGTTTTGGGTTTGTGTTTGGGCTTAGGGTTTTGCGGGCTTACAGGGTTTAGGGTCTATGGGGTTTAGGGCTGAGGGCTTATAGGGTTTAGGCTTTATGGGGTTTAGGGCTTGCAGGGTTTAGGGTTGAGAGGGTTGGTAGGGTTTTGGGGTTTATAAGGTTTAGGGGTTTAGGGTTTAGGGGTTTACAGGGTTTAGGGTTTATAGGGCTTAGGGCTTGTAGGGTTTAGGGGTTTAGGGTTTATAGGGTTTGGGGTTTAGGGGTTTACAGGGTTTAGGGTTTATGGGGCTTAGGGCTTATAGGGTTGAGGGGTTTAGGGTTTATAGGGTTTGGGGTTTTGGGTTGACTGGGTATAGGGTGTTTGGGTGTATAGGGTTTAGGGCTTACAGGGTCTAGGCTCTAGGATTTAGGGCTTATAGGGTTTAGGGCTTAGGGTTGAGAGGGTTTTGTGGTTTATAGGGTTTCGGCTTTATAGGGCTTCGGGCTTGTAGGGTTTAGTGTTTAGGGCTTAGGGTTTATAGGGCTTTGGGTTTTTATAGGGTTTGCGTTTCAGTGTTGAGCTGCCCGAAGCCAGATCTCACAAGATTCTGAAACCCTGAACCCTCAATATTGAACAACACAAGCCTAAGCCAGAAGCCTCGAATCATCTAGCAGCTCCACAGCCTCATG